TGGTCCGTTATTGATTGTTCCCTTCCCTGTTGCTGATTTCCATTCTACAACAGCGGTTTAAAGTCTTGTCTTGAAAAGTCTTGTTGAGTGTGTAATATAATGTTGTGTTTTTCCCCACATGGGGAGATTTGAGTTTTGTTTTTGTTTTATTTTTTCATTAAATTCTTCATTCCCTGCATTTGGGTCCTCGCCTCCTCTTCATCACCCCCATACCGTGACAAATATCACACAAATTAAGTTATGTCTTCTTACCATAATGTTTTTTTTTTAGATTATAGATTGAAGTCTTTAAAAAAAGGGTTTCTGCAGATATCATAATGTCAAATTTAAGACTTTTTAAGACCTCTTTAAGACCATAAAGTATTAAATTTAAGACCTATATCACAATATCAAAAGCATGCAAGAGAAAATGCAAAAACACAAAATTTGTGGTAAAATAAAATTATTTAAATAGAACAGTACTGAAGACAGGTTAGATGCACCATTGAAGTGCAGGAACAAAAAAACAAAGAAACAAACATTTTGAGGCTGATTTATACTTTCGCCTGGCTCCGCATTGCACACCTCCGCTGACTGTGCGCGCACCTCACGAAATGGATGAGGCTTTAATACTAGACGTGTTCGTCATTGTGATATTCTTTAAAACATCAGGGGCCAGTCAAAAGAAACCTCACTGTAAAGTCAGACGGATAAACAGAGAAGTAAAACGTTTTCAGAACTATGTCATATCTTTAATATTGTTCAAGATTTAAAAAATAATTATTTTTCATTATTTTTATAATTTATTATGATTACAAAGTTGGGTGACGGGGTGGGGCAGTGGGTAGCGCTCTCGACTCAAGGCAAAAAGGTCGCTGGTTCAAGCCTTGGCTGGATCAGTTGGCATTTCTGTGTGAAGTTTGCATGTTCTCCCCGTGTTGCGTGGGTTTGCTCAAGATGCTCCGGTTTTCCCCACAGTCCAAAGACATGCATTTTAGGTGAATTAGGTAAGCTAAATTGTCTGTTGTTGTAAATGAGAACGGGTTGCAGCTGGAAGGCCATCCGCTGTGTAAAACAATTGCTGGATAAATTGGCGGTTCATTCCGCTGTGGCGACCCCAGATTAATAAAGGAACTAAGCCAAAAAGAAAATTAATGAATGATTATAAAGTTTTATAACTATTCAAGATTTTTTTAATTAGAGTTTGATGCATCACTCACTTGTGTTTATATCTCAGACAGTTCTACCTATTAAAATTAAATATCAATGACAACAGAACATGGGTTACTCTACAATTATTTTTTTTATTCTGGCAAGAATAATAGCAAAAAAATATATATATTATTTTTTGCCCACTCAACAATTGACACATTATTGTCTGGCTAGTTTCTGTCCTCTACTAATGAGCTGAAAAGGCAATAATGGTCCAACAATCCTGTCTATTATCACCAATAAAGCCTATAAATTAAGCTTGAGTACACTGTAAGCCGATGGGCTCATATATTCTTTTCCAGTTATCAAATACTTAATTTGTTACTTAATTTTTTTTTTACATTGCTTTAACTTCAAAATGATACATCAGTTTAAAACCAATAAATGGTGAAAAAACATATTCTGTAATCTTAAAACCACCTGGGTCTCCACTTTTGCCATGGCCTCTTTTTTGTTGTAACAAACTTATCCCCTAGGTTTTTCCCAACTTTAACAAAACACTTCCTTTCCATGGCTGTTGCAATTTCTAGCCAAGAATTATTGGTCATCTGGTCATCTCTATGCTGATCACGCATGGTCGGATAGTTAAGATGTCTGTACAGTCGTACTGTTACAGACAAAATCTCTTCAAAGTGATTCAAATTCAACTCAAATCAAGCGCGGCGCCGCGCGAAACTGTTCACCCGAAATCATGTCGCGCGCGTCCAAAGTGAACCTCCGCAAACACGGCGATGACGTCACATTCGCCGCGCGCACTGAGCTATTGCATGCTGGTCTTTTCTTATTTGTAGTTTTAATACTGCAAATTACAATAGGACTAGTGAAATAAAGAACTACACCACCACGAAACCAAGCAACAACAAAAAAAATTAAATGAGCATTAGGAGTAGCGTTACATGTACATCGGAAAAATAAGACCTGTGCAAACATATTTCAGACCTGGAACAGCGAATTTGAGACTTTTTAAGGCCTAAAATTTAGATGTTTATATTTTAGACATTTTAAGACCCCACGGAAACCCTGTGTAAGCCGGATGGTACAGCAGAGGGCAGGTTTCATCCACCTTTTTTTGCGCTTTTTGGATATGCACATAAAAACGGTTGATGGAAACGCTATAATGCGCATATATTTTGAAAATGTGTGTGAATGGACAAACCAGCAGGCTAAGCACATTGTAAAACATCTAAAGTGTTGTTTTGGTCATTTTAAACCGCCTCAACCATTTCAGTATTATATTATATTAATAATGACCTCCAGAATTGTCAAGAGTGCCTGCACTCCGTGTCTCGCGCCTTCCAGCGCGCGTTCACTGCGTGCAGGATTGCCTTCTGATGCGCAAGTCACTTATTAAATGAAGATAATTTATTCATGCAGCTGCTCCTACTGATGCTAATTCTGTTTTTACTTTTGATATTTGTCGCCAGTTAATCAGGTGGCAATTTTGTTTGACTTGTTGGACAGAAACGCTGCTTTATTTGCAGTCTTTTATGCGATATTCCAGTTTTGGGCATACATTTAATTAGCATTTTAGATGATACCATAGCTAATCACATCAGCACAGCTGTCCCCTTTTTTCCCTATGTACCTGTAGGTGAACAGCTCCTCCAGGTGTGGCAATGGGCATTCATCCTCTGCTATTTCTTCCTCATTTCTTCTGTCTTAAATCTCCATATGTAATTGATAACTTTGTGACTGTATGATGACGGTCACGTAAATCTGCAGTAGCCTGAACTTGTTTTTCGGTTCAAATAATATACCAGGCTTTTCATTGGTCCGTTAAGATCAGCTTTTTTTATTGGCTACCGAAATGCTGGTCAGTGCGTGGCTGAAATATTAATTTATTTACAGTACTCTGTAACGAATTGTGATTTTAAAAGTAACGAAGTAGATTACTCAGCTTAATTTGTACTCATGTACAAGTAAAATTACAGGCTTAAAATTCTACTCATGAAAGTACAATTACCCCAAAAATGTACTTAATTACAGTAACGTGAGTAGTTGTAATTCGTTACTCCCACCACTGCTGGCTTAGTACTTTCCATTTGCATATGTCATAAAATGGGTCATAAAATGTCTTAAATTCCAAAATCAATTTTTGGCCTTAAAAAGTCTTAAATTTATTGAAATATTGTTTTGTAGGTCCTAAATCTTTTTTAAACAAGTCTTCATTTTCCTTTGTTCATGTTTTGCTTCATAATCTGGCCAAAACCCATACAATCACCAACAATCCATCTCAATAAAACTTTCAACTTTTTATTCAAAAATGTCATTTGTATTTTTTAATATTCATTCATTATTGTATTGATAAATATATTCAATTATAATTTGTTTTGATAGGGCAAATACAAATCTTTTCCATATGGGCCATTTGAAAAATTCCTTAACCTTTAGCCCTTTATGAGTCTAAAATTTCATTCATAATGGTCTTAAAGCTTTACATTTAACTTGGTGAAACCTGCAGTAACCCTGGTTTATTCATTCATTTTCTTTAGTCCCTTTATTAATCTGGGGTCGCCACAGCGGAATGAACCGCGAACACTCATTCACACTCCTACACTATAGACAATTTAGCCAACCCAATTCACCTGTACCTCATGTCTTTGTACTGTGGGGGAAACCGGAGCGCCCAGAAGAAACCCACGCAAATGCAGGGAGAACATGCAAACTCCACACAAACGCCAACTGACCCAGCAACCCTGGTTTAAATTATGTCAAAGTAGGACAATAACCAATTTCAAGGTATACCGCAGTTTGGAAAAGTCAAGGTTTTGAAACTGCCAAAATGTTCTGTTATATCGTTTTTACGGTATATGTAAGTTTTATTTATTGATTTCTTTTTTTTTTTTAGGTTTTAAGTTTTTTAGGACAACAGTATATCCAGCAAATAAGATATCCAAAGATGCCGTTTTAAATTGTTTTTGAACAAATAAAGACAGCAGAAGTCAATGATTCATTTGAATGATTTAGCCTGACATGTTTACTGCTCCAAAATATTGTAAAAGTTTCTCAAAAGAAAATATATTGTGTTCAAAGGGGGAAAAGATTTTTGTTTTTCACCCAGACATTAAAAAGAGGATCTTTTGAGCTTAGGGCTCTCTCTCGAGACAGCATGCCAAACAAGCTTTATAATCAATCATCAGCTAAGTGTGAACTCTTGAAATGAATGAAAACAAGCAGTAAAGTATGTCATTTTGCCATTTCCTCATCTCTCCAGTTTACAGCAAATGTGGTATTAAGCATTTGCACAAGTACATTCATTAATTTTTCTTGGGCTTAGTCCCTTTATTTATCAGGGGTCGCCACAGCAGAATGAACCACCAAAGACTTATTTTACATCTTTAAAAAAAAAAATAGGAATAATAGGAACCCTTTATAGGGATAATTGACACAGAAATAAAAATAGCCTCACCATTTACTCTCCCTTTTGTGGTTTTAAACCTTTGTGAGTTTCTTGATTCTGTTGAACACAAAAGAAGATATTGTGGAAAAAAAATGTTTAAAACCACATGACAGAGTAAATGGTATGGTCATTATAATTTTTGGATGAAACATCCATTTCCTGCTTGTCGCTTAGTGTCTTCATACTGAAGTTAACTTCTTTTTTTTTCCTTTTAAGACCTGATGGTGCTGAAAGAAGAGACCCATCAATGGAGTGAAATGGAAGAGAAACAGCAAGACAAATCGACTAATGAAAAACCCACACTCACTTCACACGGAAGACCTCGGAAATCCAAATCTAGGTGTAATTTAAGCTATAAACAGTGTGGAAAGAGTTTCAGTCAAAAGCCAAACCTTAATGTTCACATGAGAGTTCACACAGGGGAGAAACCTTACACCTGCGAACAGTGTGGAAAGAGTTTTGGTAAAAAACAAAGCTTTAAAATGCACATGAGAATTCACACTGGAGAGAGGCCGTACACATGCCAACAGTGTGGACAAACCTTCTATCATGTAGGAAACTTTGCAGCACACAAGAGAATTCACACTGGGGAGAAGTCTTACCATTGCCTTCGGTGTGGAAAGAGTTTTAAGCAAAATGGCACCCTTACAGTCCACATGAGAACACACACTGGAGAGAGGCCATACACATGCCAACAGTGTGGAAAAAGCTTCTATACTACAGAAAATTTTACACAGCACATGAGAATTCACACTGGAGAAAGGCCGTACACATGCCAACAGTGTGGAAAAAGCTTCTATAATACAGGAAACTTTGCAGCACACATGAGAATTCACACTGGGGGGAAGCCTTACTCCTGCTTTCAGTGTGGAAAGAGTTATAAACATAATGGCAACCTTAAAGCTCACATGAGAACACACACTGGAGAGAGAATTTTTACTTGCACACAGTGTGGGAAAAGTTTCTCTCGAAAACAAAGCCTTCACATCCACATGAGGATTCATACTGGAGAGAAACCTTACAGATGCACAGAGTGTGGTAAAAGTTTCCCATATAAAAGCACACTCAATCACCACATGATAACTCACACTGAAGAAAAGCCGTTTGCATGTGATCAGTGTGGAAAGAGCCTCACGTGCAAAGACTCCATTAAGCAACACATGAAGACTCACTCAGGAGAGCGTTTTAGATGCAGTGAGTGTGGAAAGGCCTTTAAACATAAAAGAAGCCTCCGCGCTCACATGAAGCTTCACAATGGAGAGCAGAGCCCTCAAAATTGAGGTCTTGTCCAGCGGAGCTTAAGGCTCTCTCTTGAGACAGCATGCCAAACAAGTGTGAACTCTTCAATACATATCAAATTACTGAAATTGGAACTCTTTGAACACCTGAAGATTTAAACGGTCTTTTATCGATCTTTATCAGTCACGTGCGTTTGTTGTGTGTGACGTCATTTTTGACGTATTACTTTCCGAGACAACTTGAGAAAGACACATAACGCAAGAGAGATACATGCCATAAAACGGTCAAGCTGGAGAAGAGCAAGAAAATTGAGAGTACGCGATACTGCAATAAACTAAACAAACGTGTTAGGGATTGTCATTGTGAGGTTTACGAGCCAGGAAGGCTCGTAGTGGGTTCTCAAAGGATATAAAAAAAATGAGAAAACCTCAAAATGATGGCACAACTCGCTGATATAACGTGTAAAGTGATGGTTTATTTACAGTGTACGAGAGTGAAACCCAAAACCCAGCAAAGTAGCAAACAAACAAAAATAAAAGAAAAATAAACAACAAACAAAACGATATATGTACAATCACAATAAAAATGTACAAGTTATAGATCGCTTACGGCACCACAGTAGCTCGCTCGCTCGCCAGGTGAACTGACCAGTCAACAGTGGCACCAAGCGGAAACTCCACTCCTCCTTTGGCCACCTCCAGGTTTTGGCTAGTCGTTCGAACCGACGCAGGAAGTTCTCTATGTCCTCCCCTTGCTGGAAGACTGGTAACTTCGGCTCTGTTCGCATTATTGGCTGGCTGCCATATCTCAGGTCAGTAGGCGAGTCTCGATCTCTCTGGAAAGATGGGGGTCGTTGTGCTGTTGGCGTTGGCAACCTCAATCGTGGACTCTCTGACTCACTCGACCCCTCAGCTGGCCGGACTGCTTGCAGAATTGACTCTTTAAAACTCTGTAGCTCTGTTAGGTAACGCTGCTCCCGCTCTGCTTGTGAGTCAAGAAAGTCCCTCATTAATGCATACATCCCACCTCCAGTAGATGAAGTCTTTGCTTCAGGAGAAGAAACAGGTTTTGTGACTTGCGGTGATGTGGACTTGGGTCGAACGGGAGGAAGTTCCTCCTCCAACTCCGTCTCCGTAGACTCAGCTGACGCCCATGCCCCATCCTCCTTGCTAAGGGCTCCAGTCTGTGAACGAAGCCCCGCTTTAGGCTTCCTGCCTCTCGTAGACGTCTTGCGAGTTGCCATCTCACTCTCGTACACTGTAAATAAACCATCACTTTACCCGTTATATCAGCGAGTTGTGCCATCATTTTGAGGTTTTCTCATTTTTTTTATATCCTTTGAGAACCCACTACGAGCCTTCCTGGCTCGTAAACCTCACAGTCATTTTGGTAAACTGTCTTACATTCAGGATATAGATCTGTTCAAATGAACTGCAAACCTACGGAGTGCGCTGCTACCGACCCCTCATTGCTGATAATAATGACATGTCATACTGTGTATCATCAATGTCCTAATATACGTTAAGTTTGAACACCATTAAACCACAGTATTTCTAATTATGTATTGCAGTTTTCATTTTATTTCATTAGTTACATCTAATATTTACATTTACTGGTGTGACACAAAATGCAGCCGACAGCCTACTCAAAATTTTTAAATAAACACATCCTCTCACTTCCTAAATGTGTGATAACTTTGATGAAGACTTCACACACACACACACACGTAAAGTCAAAACAGTAGTTGGTGGAGAGTGTGTCTATTTTGCAATATTGAAGAATGTTGATGGACTGCCATTATTTAAAAGCTCACAGGAGCAAATTTGGCCAATTTTAGGAAAAATTCCTTTTAAAAGGGATATGTTTGTCATCTATGTCTTCTGTGGAAACTGCAAACCTTGCACCAATATCTCCAAGATTTTGCAGAGGTCTAAGACAAGGTTTTACTATGGATGAAAGGGTGTTCCATTTCTCCCTAGACTGCTTTATCTGTGATGCTTCTGCATGATCATTCATAAAACAAAGGGGCATGGAGATTATGGTGGTGGTTACGATCGTTGCAAGTGGGAAGGATCTTATGTGGGACGTAAAATGACATTCCCAGAAAACCACCACAGAGGTCACTCCATACTTAGTACATTAAGTTTGGGAATGGTCACACAATTCGTGCTAGATTATATGCATGTCAATTTTTGGACCAATGACAACCTACAAAACAGACAAAGCTCCCATATAATAAATACCATCTCAGAGAATCTTGTAGGGATGTAAAGTACATACTCTCTTAATTTTCACAAAAGCAACAATCACTCTCTGAACTGGACCGCTGGACAGCTACTGAGTTTAGGCAGTTTCTCCTGTACACCGGTCCAGTAGTACTGAAGAATATTCTTTCAACACCACTTTAGAACAACTTCCAATCACTGTCGGTTAGTTTCTCTCTGATGCTTTCTCCAACCCTCTGTGCCCATAACTGTGACTATGATGATAACTTGATTAGGTACTTCCTTGGACAGTTCAAGACCTTGTATGGGGTTAAGGAGATGGTCTACAATGTCCACTCTCTGTGTCATCTTGTAGATGATGTGAGGAGGTTTGGTCCTTTGGACTGTGTGTCTGCATTTTGCTTTGAAAACTTCCTTGGTCAGCTTAAAAGGAAGATCAGAAAGCCCCAACAGATTCTCCAGTAATTGATTTGTGTTATGGAATTGCAGTCCACGCAGATCAAGCCCAATTCTCAGCCAGAAATACTCAAACTCAGCGGAAAACACTCAAATGGCCCAACAATGCAAGACAGCACAACAAGAGTGCAGTATAATAAAGCCATTCTTGAAAATGTCACAATAAAATGTAGAACTGAAGACACCTGCGTGATGATTGATGGACAACTTGGCTTAATTGAGAACATCTTGTATGACACCACCACAGAAGAAACTTTCATTTTGCTGAGAAGATTTTTGTGTCTGGCCCCACTTTATACAGGGCCCATTAATTTTAAAGACATTGGCATCTTTAAGGCATGTGAGCTGGCAGCTGAAGTCAAACTCTACAAGCTCTCTGATATTGAGGCAAAAAATGTTTTGCTTCCACTAGGAATGGGATGGGCAGCAACCCCATTACTTCATTTTTATTAGAGCCTCTCTGTTACAGATCCCTTCCTCAGCGTGTTATGTGCATTACATAGAATTAGTTTCCATGTACAGTTGAAGTCAGAATTATTAGCCCCCCTGAATTAATATCACCCGTTTATGTTTTCCCCCTATTTCTGTTTAATGGAGGGAAGATTGTTTTAGCACATTTCTAATCATAATAGTTTTAAAAACCTATTTCTAATAACTGATTTATTTTATCTTTGCCATGATGACAGTAAATAAGATTTTACTTGATATTTTTCAGGACACATTTATACAGCTTAAAGTGACATTTAAAGGCTTAACTAGGTTAATAAGGTGAACTAGGCAGGTTAGGGTAATTAGGCAAGTTATTGTATAATGATGTTTTGTTCTGTAGATTATTGAAAAAAAAAATTAGCTTAAAGGGACTTATAATTTTGTCCCAAAAATGTTTTTTTTTTTTTTATTAAAAACTACTTTTATTCTAGTCGAAATAAAAAATACAAGACTTTCTCCAGAAGACAAAATATTATCAAACATACTGTGAAAATTTCTTTGCTCTGTTAAAAAACATTTGAGAAATATTTAAAAAAGAAGAAAAAAAAATCGAAAGGGGGCTAATAATTCTGACTTCAACTGTACGTTGAACCTCAATTTTAAGATGATTTTAACCCAAATTTATGTCAGTTATTTTATAACTTCAAGAACCTTTTTGCATCACACATAAGTTAGTTCTGCAAGTTGGACCTCAAGAAAAACAATGGAAAAGAATCATCTCATAAATGTACACATCATGTATGTCTGAATACATCAAGATGGCAAATTACACAGGTTTAAAAACAAGTTAGTATTTATCGTGAGTAATTCTACTTTTACATGCCATTTGTAGTACAAAATTAATTAATTCCGTTTCATCTGTTCTTTAAGGTATAAAATGAACTCACCATTCCCCTTCTAGGGAACTTCAACACTGCGTCTAACCAGAACGCTAGGGGAACACCTCTTTTATACGCGTCTTGAAGCACATGTGAAATCAATCTAATGTAATTAAGCAGGTGTCGTCAGACCAGAGAGTATAAAAGCCTATACTGAGCATTCAGTATCAACTTCTTTGCTTTCAAGAAGCACGCACGTGAAAATACACCCTCTTTCTGTGATCTTTCATTACTGATTTGCATACACAAAATACAAAAAAACTGACAACTTACTTTTTTATTTTGGTATGGCAGAGAAAAACTTTAAACGTTGTGTGCCTCCATGCCCTCGCTTTATTACGGCTGGTGACTCACATGATCTGTGTTTAGAGTGTTTGGGAGAAGAGCATGCCCTGGTAGCATTTGAGAATGCTGACTGTGGACACTGTGACGTTCTCTCCCGTAAAGAGCTGCGCAGTCGGAGAGAGTTCTTTAATAAAGCTCCCGTGGCGCACGCTCCTCGCGGTTCGGGTCCCGCTCGTGCTGAGGCTGAGCGTCGACTTCGGTCGTGGGGTTCGCAGCTAGATCTGGCGGATGAGATGGAGACGGA